TTTTTTTTTACAAGTACAACTTGTTTTTTTTTTATCTATTTTTTTGCAGAGATTGACCATATTCATCGACAGAATTTTTTTAATCATTCAATTTTTTTGAATTAGTTTTCCGGAAACGTAAATCTTTATATTTTCCTTTCAAATTGATGATATTGGTAACTAATGTTAATGAATTTATGAGGCAAGTATATTGAGGTTCAATTTGTTGTTATGCTATTTTTATCATTATTATTATTATTATTATTATTATTATTATTATTATTTTATTTTGATTAAGTGTAAGGTGTCTTACCAACAATAGTTGATCTCATATTTTGCAATAAACCAATACTGAATGGTTTACTGACTGTGAAATATACACTGTTTTAATTTGAAATTTTACTTAATTGTTTTATTGGTTTACCCATAGGTCGAGAGTTGAATTGTGTGCATAATTTTTTTTTTTTTTCAGGTTACCAATTATCGGTTGCTAATTATTTTCTAGGTGTGTTTCTGAATTTTCACACTTCCATATTTTGTGCAATTTTATAATTTTTTTAAAAATTCAGTGGTTTAAAACAGTGTATATTTCACAGTCAGTAAACCATTCAGTATTGGTTTGTTCCAAAATATAAGATCAACTATTGTTGGTAAGACACCGTACACTTAATCAAAATAAAAAATAATAATAATAATAATGATAAAAATAGCATAACAACAAATTGTACCTCAATATACTTGCCTCATAAATTCATTAACATAAGTTACCAATATCCCCAATTTGAAAGAAAAATATAAAGATTTACGTTTCCGGAAAACTAATTTAAAAAAATTGAATGTTAAAAAAAATTCTATCAATGAATATGGTCAATCTCTGCAAAAAAATAGATTAAAAAAAAAAACAAGTTATACCTGTAAAAAAAATCAAAGGTTGGGCTATAAGTCAAATGGTTGACTTGAAGGAAATCCTCCGATATAGGTTATAAGAGCCTGGGTTAAAAATTGATCAATTTTCGACGGCAAGCTATTATCTAAGAATTCAAATTCAGAACATGTTGTTCAACCTTGACCCTTATTCAGATCACTTATTGATAAAATTGATAAAATATAAGGCAGTATCAGAAGTTATGCTAACATAGTAAAATTAATAACCTAAGAACCAATTTCCTTTCGCCATTGTGTCAAGAATAAATTTGTACAGTGTCATATATAAAAAATTATCATAGCTATGTTAATAGACTGTAAAAATGATTTTAGGAATAAAAATTGTAAATTAAGAGTTATTAGTGAAACTTATACAAGCCTCCATCCCAACATAAGACAGATCGGGAAACCATCCATTCTCGTCTCTCGATATCTGGACGAAAGGGGCCGCACATAAGAACTGGTAGATTCCAGCCTAGAATCCAGGCAGAAAAGGGACTATAATCGTCGTCAAAGGTGCAGCACGCGTATTGACCTGTGGGGTCTTGATTCTAGTAGGGTAGGAAGCCCTTCAAAGGTTCAATGCCGACCTCCACGGAAATTCTGTTGATTTGAAAATGTGGCCTTTTTTGGAATGGACTTGTTGGGGAAATCGGCCGTTCGAAAGACCCTAAGTAATAATGCATTCCTTGAAAAGCAATTACTTATAAAACTTGAAAGAACTTACCACGTTTTTGGGTGGGAATTCAAACTTAAATCAAACCTAGCAAAAAAGTTTTTTCCGGGCTATAATGCCGTGGTCCATTAGTATTTCTACCTAACGTTTCGTCTACTGCTGCGGTAGACATCTTCAGAGGCGGTGTGGTAGAGGTCGAAGTGTTCTCTTCCGTGTTTCTCCGATGACTGACACGGAAGAGAACACTTCGACCTCTACCACACCGCCTCTGAAGATGTCTACCGCAGCAGTAGACGAAACGTTAGGTAGAAATACTAATGGACCACGGCATTATAGCCCGGAAAAAACTTTTTTGCTAGATTTGACCGGCCGTGAAAGCCTTCATTCTTTATTTAAATCAAACCGCAATCACGAGACTTTTTGATTCGAATTTTTCTTAATTCGACATATTATTGCCACACGCAACTCTAATTCGTTAAACAAGGCAACGCCCAAAGGCCGGTAAGATATTTTTTTTTTCGATCAGTACTTTCAGCCAATCAACCGTTCAGTTCAACGAGACAATTCAAAAGGGACCTGAATCGATTTCCTACGGGCCAGGTAAGTACAGATACAGCGTTTCCTCTCCAGATAGCCACGGAAATTGTTGGTACTAACCAATATGTCAAATTTAAAAGAAAATTGCGCCCTCTAGTGTAATAATTTAATAATTGCTATATAATAATATTTGAAAGGGTTATATGTTAAATTTGAATGAAAAAAAGACAAGCAACTTTAAACGTTACAAACTATAAAAATAACACATATTTATTTAAGTAATACTTATAAATCACAAATCATTTTTAAAATACTTTGTTGCAATTTTTGAAACGGTTGCAATGGTAGATATTGATGCGGAAATACGAGTGCGAACTTGCATCGAATGGATTTATTAATGACAAAGAATTTGAAGACGAAAAAACCGATTTCAAAATGCTAGGTCCTGAAGTCATGCCAAATTATGTAAATGATAAAAAGCATAAAAAACTAACGAAAATTTGATTTTCTAAGCATGCTAGGTTTTCAAGACATCGTACCTAAGTGTTTTGACGATATTAGGACGGTTTTCAGTTTCAATGATTCCTGAATGGTTGAAAATACATTATTAAAATTTGATGCTTTATAAAATAGAATCAAAAATTTCGATGGAAATCGTAGGCTCGCCCAAGAAAGTTGGTAAAAAAGCAGATTAAATTAATTTCCGTACAATTTTCTCACCGAAATATCTTTGACTGACTCTGATGTCAATTATTGTTCATAGCATTTCGGAATCAATTGAATTTTGCCATGGTATATATGGGTTTGATCATTGCGATTTTTTGCATTATGCTTATTTCAAAATTTGGGTCAGTTTTAGTTTCACTTCATACAACTTCGTTTATTTTATTTAATTTTTTTGGAATTTCCAGAATTGCTCTGCCATAATATTAATACCTACTGTCCACTGTTATTATCTATAATAAATATTTTAAATTTGGACCTGCTACACGAGTGTTTGAAAACGTTGAGATTCATTTTTTGTCAAAAATGATATGATGGAAAGTTTCAATGCATATGCTTTTATTAAAATGGGTTGCTTTTGTTTAACTTTCAGTCTCCATTTAATGAAACAAAATAAGTTCCTTCGAAAAATTGAGATTGATAATAAACTTTATCATTTGATCTTCCTACTCAAAACGACATGTCACTTTGGCATAGATTTTGGACTACTGATTATTTTATTGTTTAGTCGATTTATGCTATCAATATAATATTCAACTTAAGCATGTTTGCCGATATCTTGATATATAGCTTTGAGTATACCTGATAGCTGTTCTACCCAGACTAATTTTCTCTTACTAGCCAACGTTGATAAAAAAACGTTTTTTTTTTTTTTTCTTTTTTTTTTTTTAACCAGGGCAGTGGTCAATGTTGGTTTCAACCTTCCACATTGGTTAAAAGAACTGGTCGGATCAGAATTATTTTTTTTTTTAAAAGGAAGTTTGAACCATGACTACGGAGAGACTAGAGAATGGAACGCAGAAATGATAAATCCTTCATTCCCATAATTACAAATTTGTCTTTCGAAAAAAAGCTGTTTCAACAATCGTTTTTCTCAGGAGATATGGTCAAAGTGAATCCTATATTATGGTGGGAATAATTGAAGGTATAAATTCGAAAATTGAAGGGATAAATTCAAACGCGATTTATTATAGAATTTGTTTATTAATTGCATAAACCATTCTCTTCTTCGGCACTAATTGAAAAGCCGTTTCCACAATCGTTATTCTGAAAAAAAAAAAAAAGACTGACCTCAATCCCATACTATGATGGAAAAGATTGAAAGGATTGCAAAAAACCCAATTTTAATCACCTCTATAGCGTCGGCTACAGTTTCGCCATTTGAAATATCACAGAAGAAATTATGTCGCAGCAGGGGTGTTTAGGATCGATAAGTTTCTGAAAATATTTTGAAATATGGAAGATTTAGGTATAAATTAAAAAAAAAAAAAAAAAAACATTTATGGCGGATAAAATAGGAGTGGCTGGGCAAAAGCTATTTCGTCAACGACGGGAAATTGGATTGTTATAGAGTGCTTAGATCAATAACCGTTCAATACCTTCTTTCACTCATATAGAGAATTGCTATAGATATATACTATAAAACATAAATAAGCCAATTCTGTACCAAATTTTGCCTAATACTCCTACTGCTATGAATTAATAATAATTACTTTAAGTGCATTATAACATAAAATCATCTATAGCGCTTGATGTTAGCCTAGCCAGTTAAAACTGCCGTTTATGCACGAAAGATTTAGTTTATAATCTTTGAGAAGATGTACATCTTAAACTAAAATAGTTCCTACCTGAAAATAATCTTTGTGAACGTGTTTAGCTACTGACCCACTAGGTGACAAGTTCCTAATGGTCACTTCGTGTCCAAATAATATTTTTGATTGCAGAAGGACTGATTAATATTAGCAGACTTTTGGAAGAACTATTGATCCTCATGTTTTAAATTGAGATTATTATTATCCTTTGTTGAAGGCGAAGCTCAAGGCGTGTAGAAATATTATGTTTTATTTGGCACAGTTGTAAGTCGTAAGAGAATAAAGCGCTTCTCTAAGAATTCTTAACGTGAACTATTTCCACGTTTAGGTCTATTTTATTTCCTATCTCATCATCAAAGTATGGAGTATCGTTTTTCATAACTTAATTAGTGAAATAGCAATAGCTATTAATAATTTATTGGCTATTGGTTTATAATTTCAATGGGCACGTCACTGATGTAAATGAAAATTAATGAAGTTTAATAATAGGTATAAGGATTATATTTAGTTGGCGTAATTGGCTAGTGCCGAGTCGTATAGCCAATTGATAATTTGATGTCTGTCCTTAGCATGTAGTCCAATGTGTGATAGTCGCGGTTAAGACCATAGGCAATATTCTGATGGTCACAAGCCTTCTACAGTTCATGTTCGCGGTAATTGGAGTCCAGTTGTTTAAGGTAGGCACCAGCAGTCCGTTGTTGTTAAGCAAATGCACCTATGGGTTCCCAGCTGCAGCATCGTCCTGGCCAAGCCAAGCCGAGCCGGCTATCGCTACTAATCCGCATGCCCTCTGAGTGCGCGCATTTCCAGCGCCGGCGTTTCAGCCTTCCAGCAACATCCTCCTCAGGCACTTGTAGTCATATCTAGGGTAGGGCACGACCGCCGCTTGGTCGACCCTGGGTGCATTTGAGACGGCTGCGCGATGCCCCACCGACCAGCCTTCAAAGCTTAGTCCACTGTGTGAGATTACCGTAATTTAAAAATCCTGCCGTATTTCCTTGAATTTCACGCCTACTTACGTATCTTTCAGTTTTGCTTACTAACTTTGCGAATGCACTTTTCGTAATATGTTCCTAAGTTTTCCAACTTCAAAGATATGTTTGACAATAAATTATGGCATTTTCTAATTTGCAAAAATAATTTCAAGTAATGTGCATACGCAAGATTAGTGTAATATTTCGTACTAATAAGACAATACCTAAGTTTTTATTGGAGTTTGTCTAACTGTCTTATTCCTTAAGCTGTGCTTTTTCTTAACTGACTGTTTCGTTTGTTTCATCCCCTCATGCCGATTCTTCCTTTGACTAGTATGTGGTCAAATGCGTGATAGTAGCCATAAAGACGATTGGCAATATAATGCTGGTTACCTACCTTTTGCAGTTCATGTTCGCTGTCATTGGAGTGCAGCTCTTCAAGGTAAATCCTAAGGACTTCTAGCTACACATGCGCGGTAGATGTGCATGTTCTGTCGTGGCTGACAGCGATTTCATAGCGGCATGAGTAGGGCGCCTGCGCCGTGGTCGCTACCTCAGCTCACAGATCACGATCATAATAATTCACTCATTTGAATTTCTGCGATTTCTTCAATACAGACAATATTTAATATATTCAATGAAATTTTTCTAAACTCATTACGTAAATGCCAATGTTATTACATGCACCATGTTTATTTATATTTTTTTAGTATGTTATTAGTGCGTTGCTATTTGAAACATTGTATGACCTATATGAAATCAACCTACACCAAAAAGGCTTTTTGGTTTTTTAAACAGAAAAACTTCCAAAGATTTGCGTAGAATTATAAATCGAGTAAAATTAAAAATATTTTTTATCTTCTAGGAGGCATAAAAATACGACTCGCAGAAATTCGTAAAAGTTTTTTGTTAATTGTTATTAGCCTGCTGTCTGCGTCTGTATGTTCGTTGTTGCAATAATATATTCATTTGATCTTCTTGATGAGATCCAGATTAACGCCGGTGGGCTTACGCTGAACCACAAGCACGAATAAAGATGGCGTCCACTCAAGCAGAAGTTTACTTCACCTCATGGATAAAAAATTAACACACATCATGGGCATTCATTTACACTTTTTTTTTATTTTATTATTGTCAATAAAATTACTAGTTATGACTACAAGTGATCGCAGTTTGTAACTTTTCCTAATTTTGCATTTTCAATTGTTGCATGTTTGTTAAATTTTGTTGCTCAGATAACCGATATGCTTTGTAGATTTTTTGAGTTGAGTTTATTTTTACTTTCAGTTCCCAACGGGTACCAGTATTGAAAAAAATTCTCTTGAGTCATTAATTAATTTAACTTGCTTTTGTAGTGTTTTTCTTTCAAATGACATTTCAGCTTTCAAGCGATAGCAATTTATTTACCCCCATGTCACATGGGTGCTTCCGATAGGATATAGTAGATCGAATGTAAAAAAAGCTTTCTAAAAAAGTATTTACACACATCATCACTTCCGTATTAGTGCCGCGTCAGTTCAGTATCAGTGTCAGACGTCAGTGTCAGTGATAATACAATATTCTCGCCAGTCTCAAGTGAACCTGGTGAGACAAATCTGGCGCAGTGATGTTTTTCACGATATTTTGTATTTTCACTGACGAAAATCGATTTGATTGACCATAATGGCCAATTCTTTGTCAGTAAAAAGAGCCATCTCTAAATTTTCATATTTTTCACTGAAAGGATGGTACGTCACCACTGACGAAGCACGGATAGCATTGAAACTGAACTGACACGGCACTGATGTGTGTAAATAGGCCTCAAGACGTTGAAAAATATAATATTTTTTGGCAATCTTGCGTCGTCCTCGTTCAAAATACCAAATCACGGATGCCTTTTTTCTTGTAATTCGAGTCAATGAGAAAATTACAGAAGGTCGCATTTGAAAGTACCCTGTAGGTAATTTCAAATGTCTTCTTTTCCAATTTAATTAAAAGTTTGCGATGATCAAGATCAAGAGAAGAAGGAGGCCTTATGTGTTCGGTATATTTTTATCATGAGCAACGCAAACTGTTACTTTTTCGTCATAATGCCTTTATAGTTATTGAAATTATCAGACAAGTTTACAAATCATGTGATTGAAATCACCAATAAAAATTTAGAGCGGCTTTTTTTTTTAAACCTAAAAATGGTGTCGCATCGCCTCGGGTGCTCTTCTTTTTCTACATTGCGTTCAAACTTATCCTGTCTCGTGTATGATTTTTTTTCATGACCCAAGATTTCGTATTTATATTCGGTGTTCTTAATCACTGAATTTGACTTTTGAATATACCCTATACTCTCTCGTTGCGAATTCCAGTATAATTTTTGTATTTCATGCTTTAACTTTCTAATTACATACTTGCTTATGCCTTAACAACTTTTTCGTACATTGTTGTCTACACAATTTTGAACTTTTGCTTATAACCTTTCTTTGTTTAATGTATTTATTCTTTTCTCTTTGCATGCTTTTATTCGGGAATTATTCATATTCTAATCAATTATTTTATTATTTAGGGTAAGTTTTCTCACTGCACGGACGGTTCGAAGCTCACAGCTGGAGAATGCAAGTAAGTAATCTAATTCTTCTTCTAATAATTATTTTATAATAAACGAACGTTTATTTGAGAAATTCTTAAGAATATCTAATATTAGTATAAATCCTGCGCAAATAAGTTAAAGCCTGATTTATATTGCAAAAAAGCAGTGAAGTTATTAATCTTCAGTTCCGAATGAATTGGGACGCTCTTTTACACTATTAGTAGTCCAACTTTAGTTAACTACCTACCATTTTATAAATTTGCCACGTAAAATCCAAAATTTGGATATGTGAGCCATTTATATAGGTTTGTTGAGTTGAAACAGACTTCCGAAGCGATGGATATTTGATCAAAATGTTTCAAATAAAAGTTGATCATATCATTGCAACGCTGATCATGTTTTCAAGGTCATTGTATCGTTGTTTCTAAAATGAAAACTTCTCAGATAGAAAGCTCTTCTACTCCAATTGATAACACAATTTGTAACTTAATGTCTGATTTTGTGACCGTAGGGTATATACTTTTTAAATACAGCGCTCTTATATCAGTCATGTCCCAGGTTATGTGTTCGGATGGGATTGATGCCCCTAGAGTTAATAGCAGTGAGAACAACTTTATTCTGAAAAGACTTATTTCTTAAAATAAAATGAATGAGTGTGACAGTGAGGAGAATGCTTTTTTGAATAATCCTAAAAACCATTTTAACCAAAGAGTTTAAAAAAGTCATCACAAAAAAAAAATGTTATTCATTGGCTACTACTGTAGAATTCCTTGTAGAAATAAAATAATTCTGTGTTATGGAAAAATCGAGGATCAGGTTGCTAAGGAATATGCTAATAAATATAATTGGGGAGTCCTTTTTATCTGGATTATACAGAAAGGAATATAGTCAAATCGATTCACCTTGGCCGGTATCGTATGGAATTCCATGAAAACTTTTCTATATCTAGGGATTTTATTTAAATAAGCGAACAACAACAACAAATTTACTGCCCAAACCATAAAATTAACTAAACAGAAACAAAGTTTTCCGATCGTACTAACGGAAACAGTTTTTTAATGTATTTTTTTTGTGCTTCTAAGAAAATGAAAATCCTTTTTTCTGTTGTTGCTTTTTTCCCCTTCCACTTTACCCTGTTTGGAGAAAGCGGTTGCCACCATCTTCCTGCCTTTTCCTCCGCATCATCCAACACGTCTTTGCGGTGTCCTGACGCTTCTTTTATGATGTACTAGTGGTCTCCAATCCAGGATACGTTTTATCCATCTGCTATTGTCGTGACGAGCGATGTGTCTAGCCTAACTCCACTTTGGTGTGTTTGGTGTTGCTTTTAAAATAAGACTCACGACATTTAAATGAAGCTCACAAGTTATTTTCTACATTGGACAGATATGAAAGTTCTTTAAAGGACATTAAACATGAATGCTAGTTAACGACTGATCGGTGATCAGTTTTCCTTTCGGGTTATACGGCATCGCATGCGCATTCCTCAAGATATACTGTGGCATAGTTGCCACATATACAACATCCCCACACTTAATTTGAGACCTCCGTCTATGGACACCAAATTAAAACTTTACCCAATTATGTAATTGGAGAAGTTACATGCGCGTCCTTTAGGATGTTCCAGGTAAGTATGGGTTCACATCCTGCACACCCGATACCAGCCAATCACTACTCCTTTACGTAAAGGTGCGACTAGCCATATGGGCAACAATGCTTTTCTAAGAGTGAATATTTATTTAGAAAATTGCATTGCTCTCCACAGCTGTCCCCGATCCGCCTCCAATATGCACACATTATGTTACCTAACCACTCGAACTTTATGTTTACAGTGAAAACTAGAGAATGAAATTAAATCAATTTAACCTACCAAATTCGTGCCCCCATTAACATATCTGAATACTCGAGCTTCCTACTGCCTCATGGGCTTGGTCATTGAATTTACAATAAATACAACCTCATGGGCTTGGTCCTCAAATTATTCACAATAATACAGCCTTTCTGATATCACAGCTTGGTCCTAAACTCTAATTTACACACAAACATACATTACAAATTACAATAGACAAGAAAAATCTCTCTGGTGAAGCCAGGCGTCATCAGTATAATACAATTATTACTTTTTTTTTTGTTTTTGTTGAAAGTTATTGTTTCATTAGTCTTGAAGCCACCTTGAAGGCTTGCTTGTTCTTTCACTTCTACGGACTGGCCAATTTGCTACATTTTCTGTCCTGTCAGGTTTGACAGAAGTGACTTTTTTGCTGACATGATGCCTTTCGGCAACGCTTGGTCTGCCTTCACCAGGAAGTTGAGGGTGATATGGAGCCATGTGAACTGTCTGAACCTAGAGAAGTAAAATCTGAATTGAAAGACTCATATGGGCTTTCAGGATGTATGCTAATATTATAAGGGCAAGCAATTTTAGGTGAAGAATACTCATTCTGTGTGTTCGAGTTGTGTGGTCGGGGTGACCCCACAGACGCCCCTGGTTCAGGCACCTTTGGAGAAGATTGAACTTTAATATGCAAGTAACTGTCATTTTCCACGCTAGAATTCAGTGATGGATCCTGTCCTCTCCTAATTATCTGGTTCAAATGCCTTTTCCAACATCTTCCCCCACTCACTGTGTCCAGGTAAGTCGTTTTTTCTATTCTTTTCTTTATGATACCTTCGGTCCACTGCTTTTTGTTTGGCACACTATAGTCTCTGACCATAACAGCATCTCTCTTGCTCAACTCTTTATAAGCAACTCTGGTAGCCCCTAGGCTGACCTGCTCAGTTTTGTTCCTCTTTTTTATTAGTATGGTCAATCTGGTCCTGATTTTTCTGTTGAAGATGATTTCAGCTGGTGATTTAGCTGTCACAGTGTGAGGTGTGTTCCTATAATTCACGAGAAATCTGGAAATTAAGCTGTAAGTAGATACCATTGCTTCGAGCATCCTGCAGTTTGTTTTAAAGTGTTTCACACTATTCTCCGCTGCCCCGTTGCTCATTGGGCGGTATGGTGAACCTACAATATGTGGAATACCGTTTTTCTGGAAAAAAAAAACTGCAACATATTCCGATTTATATGGGGGTCCCCCATCACTTACAGTTTTGGCAAACCCATTCTTGCAAACACTTCACGGAGCTTACCTGTTGCTTTTATGGCTGTTGTTGAGTCCATGATGAACACCTCCAGCCAGTTCGAGAAAGAGTCGATCACAATCAAGCACTCTTTTTTCGCAATTTTGCAGAAATCTATGTGAATACGTTCAAAGGGCTCTCTCTTGGGTATCTGGCTATTTAGAGTCTCTGATTTTTGGAGGGGTCCTGTCTCGTTTTCAAACATGGGATGCAGCTCTTCGTTAGTTCTTCAATGTTTTTATCAATTCCAGGCCTAAAAACTATTGATCTTGCCAGGGATTTACATCGCAGAATTCCTGGATGACCCGAATGTAGGAGACTTAGAATTTTTCCTCTCAAAGCTTTCGGAATTATCATCCTATGACCCCGCTCATATGTATTTCATGATTCACATATAGCTCAGATTTCCTCGGGAAGTACGGTTTTATTTCTTCGCCTATGTGGTTAGGCCATTAATCATTTCGAGCAGAGCTTATCACCTCCCTAAGCTTATTATCCTTTATAGTTATCTCTCGTATTGCATCGTTATCCATTGGCCAATGCTCTATTGTCTCCGTAAAGTTCACATAAGTTGAACTTTCCACTGCCTCATCCGATGTTTCCTCAGCTTTTAGTGGTGCTCTTGACATGAAATCTGCAATAATATTATTTTCACTTTCAATGTATTCGATCTTATACTTGAAGGATGACAAAAAAACTGCCCATCGCATCAATTTGTTGGCAGACATTTGGGGAATGCTTCTATGCTCCCCGAATATGGCCAGCAATGGATTGTGGTCACTCTTCAAAGTAAAAAATGTATTGCACAAGTATAAGTAGAACTCATTTACAGTGAAATAAATAGCCAGGGCTTCCTTCATAATTGTACTTATTTTTCTTTCACTAGGTTGCAATGTTCGAGACACACATGCGACTCCTCTCTATCTATTATGTGGATCAGTGTACCGGCTATTCCATTTTCACTTGCATCTGTGGTAACTATAATAGGTAGATTTGGATCAAAATGTAAAATGCAGTTATCAGAACTAATGATTTCTTTTATTTTTTTAAACGCTCTTTGATATTTTCCAGACCTAATGAATCTGTTGTTAACTTTAAGCAAATCATAGATAGGAGACAAAATTTCTGCTGCATTTGGTACAACTTTATGATAGTAATTTACAAGGCCAATAAACGATCTCACCTCAGTTACGACAGTTATACTTGAAGTGTGTGGTGCTTCCAGAATTGATTTTACCTTCTCCTTGGTCTTCTTCAACCCCTGCTTTGTCAAGGTGTAACCTAGGTATAACCTAAGTATTCGATCTCATCTAGAAAAAATGAACATTTTCCTTTTTTCACAGTTAAATTTGCCTCCCTGAGCTTCTCCAGCACTTTTTCCAAATTCCCTAGATGCTCCTGCGTTGTTCTACCTGAAACTACTATGTCATCAACAAATACTGAAGCGAAACCCATGTTTTTGAAAAGGTTTTTCATTCCCCTTTGAAAAATACTAGTACTGCATGTCAAACCAAATGGCATTTTTAATTATTGAGCACCTTCTCAGTGTTCCATGTTAGAATTTATTGCTACTCACTGAGAACTGCATACACGCCATTAGCATATCTATTTTTGAGAATCTTTCCCCTTTATTCAAACTACAAAAACTTTCCTCAATCATTGGAATTGGATACTTCACATCCTGAAGGTGTTTGTTGACCGTTACCTTATAATCTGCTACATTCGCTATTGTCAACTGGCTCAATTACTCCTTCTCTCTCCAATCTATTCAGCTCCTGAGAGACACAATTTTTATATGTGAACGGTACATTCCTATGTTTCATATAAACAGGCGAGGCATCATTTTGTAGTTTAATATTAATAATTGAGCGTGAATAGTTACCTTATCTGTCCGTAAAAACTT